GACAGGTATTCCGTATTTTTCCTGTGTTTATTAGAGAAACACTGATTTGCTTTTTTATATATCGGTGTTTTTCACTGGTATTTCTCAGTTAAAACCAAAAATCTGAAGTCCTGTGCATATTCTTGTTGTGATACAATCTCCATTCATTTATTTCCGCCTAAACATGATCATTGTTTTCGCTCAAACGGGCACGCAATCTTCTCGGTAGTGTTACCTTGTTGTGCAACACTCGAGAGAAAATAAAATCATTTGAAAACCTTCCCATTATAATTTGTTCCATTAATCTAAACCCAGTGCACACAAATCATCAGGATTCAAGCACCTATAATGTCAAAATGACTCAAAACACACCACGTAGCAATTACTGTCACGTGTAGTGATTTTTTTTTGTCAGCAAACACAGCAGCCATTATGCAACTGCAAAGATCCACAGACAGCTGTCGAGTGAAAGTGTAATTCATCTTGAGGATAATAATAATAATAATAATAATATTTGCATTGATGTAGCACCTCATCACATCCTCGAGATGTTTCAAAGTGCTTCGCGGAATACACTGTTATATATATGACATATATTTAAGACATATATATAATATATATTATATATATTCTCAGGATTATTACCAGTGTAAAGTGGTGTGATTGTGTTCATTTTTTGGGTGAACCCAGTAACGAATCTGCACCAATAACAAAAAAACATTAATGATTAATAATAACCGTTGCACGCAGCAATGATCCCCCAAACAGGAACAGGAGCGCCCACATTTTATTTGGGGGATTGCTGGCCAAGGCACCGAGAGAAAACTCCCATCTTTAACATCCATCCGGAGAGGCAGATTGGACCTTGATTTAACATTTCATCGAAAGGGAGGGACCTCTGACAATTCAGCACATCCCCAGCTTTGCACTGAAATATCAGCGTAGATTCTGTGGGTTCCAAGTGAACCCACAACCAACCGTCTGACTCGAAGCGAGAGTGCTACCAATTGAGCCAGACGGACAAGACAGTATTATTGACTGGGACAGCTGGATAAAATCCCTTCCCTTTTTGAATTGCTCAATCGATCTTGGTGGTTTACCTGAAGAACATCTGGTTCTAACATCTGATCTGAAAGAAGGCAATTCTGACATTGCTGTACTGTAATGGTGTAGCTTCTGTTCTTGTCACAAGAACATTTTGGATGAAGAAAGCCCTTCTGCCCATTTGATCTTTTGGAGATGTGCTCCTGGTGATACCTGTCTTATTCCTGAGTTTGATGCACAGCGGTCGATCTTGTGCTGATCACTAAACAAAGCATTCCTTTTGCTACGTCTGTGGGGAAGTTCCAAACCCGTCACTCAATCACTCGGTAGGCACCCCAGCACAGAACCTTACCACCCATTGACGATGCGTAATTAATTGCTGTCAGTGGAATCAGGTTGCCAGTAAAATGTATCGCCTCTTGACTGCCCAAACCGATTACGTTATAACCTTATACTCATCGCGCTCAAATTTAAGATCGTGCAGCATTTCTCTTAAAAAAAAATCTAAGCGGCCACGAGTGTAAAGAAAATTCTGCACAACCGCACATGGATCCGAGGATATCACATTGCAAGAATTGTCATCACATCGGAAGCACATTTCGATAGTGCAAGGAGTTCTCTATCTCTCTCCGTCAGTTATTTTACACAGCTGTAACGGACTGTTCAGGTGGACAGGAAAAGTGCCACGCTATCAGACAAGAACAACCACCACAACAACAACAAGATTACATTTGTATAGCGCCTTTCACGTGGGGAGGATGTCCCAAGACGCTGACAAAGACAAAGCGTGGAATCTCTCCTGGTGTCCTGGCCAATAATCCCCCAAATAAAATTGTTAATTCACTTTCAAAATTGGCTGTTTGTGGGACACGGCACTTCAGGATGTTACCACCCCCCCCCCACCCCCACCCCCGGGAAGGAAGGCAGTATATCAGTGCAAGTCGTTGCTTTTCACACCTGCTATGAACGGGGGTGAGAATGGTTCGAGCAGCACAGCAAGGGATTACAGCGGTAGCCTTCACAGACCCCGGCAGCACACAGCACGCACAGCCCTTCAAAGCCACGTCTCTGAAAGTCTGGCATGCTGTTTTAATCAAAAACTTGATAATGCTGCTTGCAGAGCCTAAGGGGTGGCCCGGCCAGAACAAGGCTACTGGTAAACGATTCGCAACTTCAGAATTAATATCCCTTAACACGAGGTAACCTATTTCCTTTAAAACTTTCTTGTTGGTGAATGCTGTGGATGTGAAAATGAGGAAGGCTCTCGGTGAGAAATGGGTCAGTTTACTATTTATAGGGCATCCAGCGTCTGCGTCAAGTATTTGCAAGTTCGGGGGCAGCATGGTTCGATGCCTGTTGATGCTCAGTGAAGCAACGTCAACCACAACAATTAAAATAATATTTACATTTGATTTTGGGGGACGTGAAGCAGGCCGGAGCCCGCTGAGCGGAGGGAGCGGGCAGGATGGTAGGGGATTAGGAGGTCGCAGAGGTAGGGGTGAGCGAGGCCATGGAGGGCTTTGAAGGTGAGGACCAGGATCTTGAACTGTATCCTCTGTGCCATGGGAAGCCGGTGGAGTCGGGTGAGGATGGGGGTGATGGGGTCACGGAGCCTGGTGTGGGAGAGGACACGGGCTGTAGAGTTCTGGATGATATGCAACCTATGGAGGGAGGAGTTGGGGAGGCCGACAAGCAGGGAGTTTGCGTAATCAAGCCTGGGTGTTCTGAATGCGTGTATGAGGGTTTTGGCGGCCTGTGCTGTAAGACATGGCGGAGCTGGGCGATGTTGCAGAGGTGGGGGAAGACAAAGAGGGTCATGGCACGGATGTGGGGTAGAAAGGAGAGTTGAGGGTCAAACAAGATGCCAAGATTCAAACGGGTTATAGTGGTGATAAGAGAGGATTGGGAGACAGATCCGAAGGTGTGTAAAGAGGGATGGGTCGGGGCCAGGGTGAGAGTGGGAGATGGGGAGTGGGACATCAGGCGGATTGGCAGTGGCAGCTGAGCGGATTCCCTCAACTTTGGATTCAAAGAAGTCCAGGACTGCCTCACCGTTACCAGGAGTAAAGCAGTTAGGAATAATAATAATAATAATACCAGCATTTGATATAGCCCCTCATCACGTCCTTGAGACGTCTCAAAGCTCTTCACAGAAGCGAATTGTTGAGTGAATTGACTGTATATTTTGTAGGTGAATTTATACTGAAGCTAATTTAATTCATCCCATTAACAATGGCACTAGCCCTCACTAAGAGGAATTCTCGCTTTTGAAACCAAGGATAAAGCACCATTAACCCAATGTGTTTTTTTAAGCATCTAAGAGTTTTCTTTACCGAACTCTCTGAAGCCATAATAAATGATCTCTTTGTAGACGATCATAAGAAAGTGAATTATTTACTTGGGTCTATAAATAAAACGCTGTGAAAAAATCAGTTGTTGGCTTGCAGGAATTGGCAAGATTGTAAATGTGCACGCAACTGAATCATTCTCTTCTCTGGTACAGCGTTGTTGAAGGATATCAGTTCTGGATCTATGCTGAAACATCTTCAACCGGAAAGCTCACCCATTAAGTAGCTTCCGTTTGTAAGAAGTTCTATTTTACACTGAGTTGCAGAGATAATCCGTTGATGGACAAGGCAGAGTGATTTGATCCATCTCATAGGGTTTCTGGTTGAAGCCTTCTTAACACATGAAGCTTTTAAACGGACGCTAACCAGATTTGTGCAACTGGCAAGCTTGACGGTGTACGTCTCAGGCATATTGAGTCGTTTGGACAATTCGCCGGGAGTATAATTCGCTGGGAAAGCTCCATCTACGGTTTGGATAAAGGTACAGTCCATTTAATGCATTTCTTCAAACTACTGTATATGGTTACTGTTAAGCAGCAGCGACTTCAAGCTGCAAGAACTTCCTCATATTTACACTGCAATAAACTAATGGCTGTATGTTTATTGTCAAGCAGCCACAGTTCAAAACCAACTCCAGAAGATGTGCTACGAGCCAGACACTGCAAGTTGCTAACATGCTGCACAGCAGTCGGGGAAAAAAAGTTAATAGCAGTGGACACACATTTGTCTTTGAGCCACCAATACGCTAGCATTCTCTTCTGTTAACGTCACGTCCTGCAACATCTCTCCTTTCTCTCTGTGGATAGGACTTCTTCCTGACACTTACAAATGATTGCACGAAGCCAATAACAAAGGAATTAGTTAAGTAAGTCCTTCAAAAAAATAATCAGGATAAGTTGGTCACTCAATCCATGATTGTTTGTGGCACGCTGCTGTGCGCAATTGGCTGCCGTGTTTGGCCCACAAAAATATATACAGTCAATTCACTTTACAGTCTATTCTGTGAAGCGCTTTGAGACGCCTCGAAGATGTGATAAGGCGCTGTATCAAATGCAGGAATAATTATTATTATTATTAAGTCAATCTAGTCTTACCCCTTTTATTATTTGGCCAATCAGGCAAAAAAAGAGAAGCAAAACTACTTTTGACTTAGAAATCAGGTCAGATCAGTAACTAGGCAACTGTTACTCGCAATCTCAACATAAAACCACCACAGCGCAGCTTATATGCAACTCTGCAAACTGATCGACTTCCTTTTTACAGTACCTTCTTATTCCTACGTGGTATAGAGCTTAATTTGGAACACGATCCAAGTACGTGTCCGGTAGTGGAGTCGTTAAATACCGGGTGAGTCTCGCGAAACAGTGCCAGTGCTTCACGTTTTAGCATCCAGTCAATAAGTTATGCACACGGTCTTTAATAATATAGCAATGGAAGCGGCCACAGCAATTTCACAGAAATCAAAGACAGAGCAGTATCGTTCAAAGCCTACAATTCAGGTCTATTATGTTCAGGACAATATTGCTGCTCTACAAATCCCCCAGAGGTGTGTGCTTTTTTCCTTTGCTTCCTTTCAAACGATTCTCGTACACTAACCTATTAATCCTGCAGAAATAATTGCATCATTACCTCCTGCAGAATCCTCTTCAGTTTCAGAAGCATCGTCTTGACTGCTGTGCAATCCTGCATCATCAACCTCAAGGACATTGCTTCCAGAGCCCCATTTTCCTCGTCTCTCAGCAGCGACCAGTCTAAAGACGGAACGCTGGACCAACAAGTGTTGCGGGGCGCTCTACTTTCGGGGGCCTCACCTTCCTTCGAAGACTGGGTGGACGGGGGTCTATAAAAGGAAAGAGGCACACATCAGAAATAGGCAAAATGATCCACCCTGAAAACAACCATATTGCAAAACACAGATTATAAATGGGAGTTTTTTTCTCATTTGTCCCAAAGACAGATGGTGCTTCCAATCCTCTCCTCGCTGTGCAGACTGTCGGGGTAAAGGTTTCAGGCTCGAAATATGGCACAGCGAGCAAAGTTACGATTGATAACCGCAGGGCCACAAAGATGGGACATTTTTATCCCCATCATCGATCTATAGATTAAGGTACAAATTGCAGCAGCAAAATTGGCGGTAAGTAAGTGAAAAGCTCAGTGTGTTTGTTTTGATCGAGGCTGCTGCTCCTGGGCAATAAAGAAAGATAAGAGTGGGCTCACATTAAACGGAGAGAGATAAGAAACATTCACCACTGGGCTTGTATTCGGTTATAGATGCCGAAGCCATAACTGAAAATCACTTCGACTGCCAGGCAAACTACATCCCCACAATCGCAGGCGCAGAAAGCTATTCAGCACAACACTGACACTCTCCAGAAAGCATTTGCCAAGACGAGTCCCGCATTAAATGACAATTTTTCAATTCTAAAATTCAATAGCAAACAACGGATGGACTGGAGGCTGCATACAAATTAGCCACGGGCCCAGGAAAGGTATGGGGACAGACCAGCCTTTGCGACGTTGCCAGAGCTAACCACGTCTACGCACGGACACACACGCACACATCTCTCGCCCATAAACTGTTCCGTGACATTTTGTTACATGACCAAAAACGTTGCCAGTAATGAAGAGCAGTGGTAATTTGAGGTTTATAGAGTATCAAAGTACAATTACTGAAATAAACGTATTTTAAAAAAAATGCTTCTATAATGGTAGAATACCCAGCAATGGATTTTCTCCAGCACAAAGCTCATCAAGTTATACTCAATGAGGAAAGTGAGATAAAACCATCCAACCCTGAACGTAATAACCGCGTAGAGTTTGGAGTTGGAAGGAGACAGTCCAGTTGCCACTGCTGATTAAGTCGCAAGAAGTTAATTACTTCGGCTGCTTAACAGGGCAGCTCGCCGTAAGCAGAAATTTAGCAAGAAGAAATCTCAGGGCTCAAGGTATCCGGAGCTCTCCGAATGGCAGCGACCGCCACAGAATCGCAACTCAGAAGCCATTTCACCCTTGGGTAAGCGCCACACGGTGCAATAGTGCACAGGCTCGCTGCTGTTAATAATATACGGAGAATTCGCCGTGTTTGCCCCAAAGACGCAAAAGGCGCCTTGTGTCTTTGCCGGCTCCCCGAAAGAGCTATCTGTTTCACCCCCACCTCCCTGTCCTCTCTCCCCCTCCCCACATTCTTTAATATAGTCCTTCTGTGTGAACTGGAACCTCTCCTCATATGTTCATCCACACGCGTGTTACTAACAGAGTTACGAACGGGTTGTTTTTTTTCTTTTCCAACGATCAACTCGAAAGCGTCGAGATCAACTGCAACTTCCCGAACATTGCTCCACCCCGGCTCATCAGATAATAACAACAACAACAACGTGTGCTTATATAGTGCCCTTCACGCAGGGTAGAGTCCCAGATCGCTAAGATATGGATGAAGAAGACACTTTGACTCAATGGATCTCATCCTTCCTAAACGTCCACTCCTCTGTCCTCCCACTGTAGCATCAGGAGCCCAGACCTCCTCCGGCTTCCTGGCAATCTATTCCCTACCCTTCAGCTAAGTGCTTACACACACTAGAACCTTCTTGGAAGCCATATTTCTTGGGCGGCACATTCGTCAACTGATCCGCGGGAGAAGCTTCATTGGTCAACACCAACAACGACTCGCATTTCTATATAGCGGCCATCAGCCCGGATGGATTCTCGAAGGAGCGCTTAATTTCCACTGACGAGAGCAAATTTCCAATGACGGTGTGGACTGCAATGACGGACAGCAACAACATCAGCAACTCAGAGCACTCTGGGGCGTGAAACTTCCATTAATTCCAAGCCCACGTCACACCAGGACCACGTATGTGCATGTCTAAATCCTCCCCCCACCCCACCCCCACCCTCACCACCTCCATCTGTTACTCTCCCTGGATAACACTTTGCAATCAATAGCAGATTATACAATAGACCTACTATTGTGATGTCCTTCTGCGATATCACAATAGATCCACAACCCCATATTGTATCTCCTCGCACCTCTTTAGGACATGGATGACTGGTTCGCTGAAGGGAGGCGAAGGAGACTTCTCTGAATAGGTTAAAATCAGCGGCAAGGTGGGTTTGTGTCTGAAAGTATTTCTTTCACCTCTTGAAAAGCACGGGAGGGCCAGAGTGCGGACGAAAGTGGTCACCCATTGCTTCCAATTTGAGAAGACTCGTGAATCACACAAAAACAGCCATTGCTTGGTGAATCACAAGGCGGTAATCCAATCAAAGAGCACAGATGATGGCCACAGATTCTATTCAGCATCTCTCCCCATGATCTACCAAAGATTCGGAGTTCACCCTGCAGGAAATTGTGGCCACGCCATTTAATCTAACAGCAGCTGCTTATCTCCAGCTTTATTGTACTTGCTTGTGTTCATTCGTCTGCCAAACTGTACAACCTTGCCCCAAAATAAGTTTTATTTCAAATGATGTTTTTTTTGTTCACTGCAGTCGATACACTGGTTTGATTTGGCCCCGTCTGTCTCTCCTCAGTTTTGCCGGGAACCTCTCCTCTCTATCCTCATACCTCTACTCCATAATAAGAATCCTTGCATTTGATATCGCAACATATCACGTCTTCGAGACGTCTCAAAGCGCTTCGCAGAACAGAACTTTAACGTTTTGCGGACGGAACGCCCCGACCCATCCTCACGCCTCCCCTATCGACCCCATTCCTTCCTCATCAATCACTTGACACGTGTCAAGAAACTCCCACGATTCTCATCACGGACGTGAAAATCAAACCCCATTCATCAGCAGTGATCATAAGTCGCAATAAAATGCAATGTTTATTATTATTATTATTATAAAAAAGCTCGCTGACGTTTCGTAAACAGCTTGTGTAAGGCTCCCTCACTTGGCGGCAAAAATCACTGCAACCTTCAGCGAAAACCTCACTCGCCAGAAGACAAATGTCGTCAAGTTCCCCTTCTCTCTCTCTCTCTCGAGTGTCGTGTTACCGTGAGCGGGTGTTGGAATTTGTACAAGAACACCGCTGGGGGAAAAGAAAAGAAAAAATAATAATTTTCCTCCCAGTGGCGTCGACGTCAACTTCGCAGCCAGTCACCGTACAGGGAGAGAGAGAGAGAGAGAGAGAGAAAAAAAAACACACTCACTTTTTATTCAACTTGCGAGGGAGGGAAAGGAACCTATTGATTCCCGTGGATAGCAGACTGTGAGCCCCACCTGCTGGCTTACCCAAGCTTGCACAATCACGTCTCCGCACGGGAGAGAGAGAGAGAGAGAGAGAGAGGGGGGACCCGAAATCTCTCTCATCCCATCTTAGCCTTGAGACCGTCCGTCAGATTGGGCGAAAACTTTTTGTTTATCGTATTGTATTTTTATGTTTCGTTTCGTTAAAAAAAAATTCCTAAACTCAAGCCCGGACGGTGAACACCCCTTTTTTTCAGGAAGGCGGCTTTCCCCAAGGGAGACCGCCTTCCAAGAATTTTCCCCCCAAACTCGGGCGCGGTTTTAAAACTGTGAACAAACGGGAACGGTGTTCCGTTCTGGAATAGCCCGGGCGCTTAGCCTGACGGGAATCATTTTTATCGGGTTAACGCGCTGAGAGCCTTCAGCCTAAAAGCAGGTGGAGTGTGGGGCTCCGAGCTGGGGCAAAGCGGGTTGCAGTGCGACTGATTAATAGGGCCGCCCTGGATGGATGGGATCTTAATAATAATAATAATAATAATCCTTGCATTTGATATAGCGCTCTTCACGTCGGGCGGACGTCCCAAAGCGCTTCACAGAACACACTGTAAAGTGAATTGACTGTATATTTGTGGGCGAACGCGGCAGCCAATTGCGCACAGCAATGTCCCACAAACAGTCGTGGATTGAAAATGACCAATTTATTATTGTTTTGGTTTTGGAGGGATTATTATTAGGCTCTGTGTGGAGTAAGGAAACTTGCCCAAGGTTTCGCCCTCTGCCTGGAAATGAACTCAGGTCTCTCACTTGCAAAGCGAGTGCTCTAACCACTGAGCTACAGGACTTTGTCTTGGATCTAAGAGCTGTTATGTACGTTGAGTGCCCATCATCAGTGTACAGTTAAGCAGGGAAAACAGAATGAAAATATGTAGGAAACTGGCAAAGTACATAAATTATGTGCAAAATGTCCCCTTTTTTTCCTCTATTGTGCAAAAGAGAGAAAGCTTTCAAATGATTAATCGGTACATTTTTCTCGTTGCGAATTTGTCCTTTTTTTTTCCGCTTTCGGTGCATGAATAGATTTGTAGGATGTTTTAATGAAATCAAACTGTGATGTTTTAGAGCACGCCATTTGATCACACCAGGAATTAAAGCATTCAATATAAATGGTCTGTACCCATACTGCGAAATTTCTTTTCAACATACTTCCTTGACACTTTTGCAGAAAGATTAATCGTTCAATGAAATCATCCAGAAGTCTATAGCCCTAACCACACAGCATAACCGATGCAAAATAGCCAGAATCTCTCAGCTACTGATAGAGACACTATACAACTCTACGCACAGTCCAGCCTTTGCAATGAATCCATACAAACTGCTGAATAATCTGACCTCAATTACCCATTAAAAAAATGAGAGCTTCAAATTTTTGCGGCTCTGTGGATCCATTTTTGTCAGTGACACCCGCTGCAGAGATGCACACTAGTCTCACCTCAGTCTATTTTTTTCTAACGATATGTTATTACAACAACGACGACGGCAAAATTACATTGATAGAGCGCCTTTCACTTCGGGAGGATGTCCCAAAGCGCTGGAATATTATATTATAACAGTTCCAGCACAGGAAGAAGTCACTTATCCCAATGTGGAACC